GTGCAGGGGTTGAAGCCTTCAGGGGAGGGGCAGGGGTGCAGACTGGCAGGGGTGCAGTCTGGTTTCCAGGGCCTCCTGAAGAAATAGGCTTCGAGGTGGAGAATGAAAACATTGCAGAGCTGTTGTGACTGCTGCTGCTAGTAGGAGTAGACATGTCTACGGCAGTGAACCTAGAAGAGAACACAGAATATTTTAGCACTTGCAATTGGCCCTAACTTCTTTTTCTACACCCAAGAGGAAGTGCTAATATCTAGAGGAAACGGTTACCTATCTTTTGGATAAGTAATGGAACTCCATGTCCAGATAGCGGGTACATTCCTAGTTGTTAAAGTAAAGATAGATAGAAACCTTAAGGGAATATGGATGGGACTCCACAGCAGAACGAGCAGGGAGTAGTTTTCAGAGGACAGGAACTCAGCACTAGTATGCTGGGACCGTTGGAAGTTAAGGGCTTTTGCCCATAGGGTGTTTCACGGCTCCTATAATAATGGGAACCAACCAAGAACGTCATGAAGGAGGAACGTCTTGCTTCTTGTAGCACACTGATCATATCCAGCACCTGGCTGTCCCTGTACCAGTTGCCAGAACAGACCTATATGGAAATATTTCCCTCCAGAACTGCCAGAGTCGTGAGAAGAGGTCAGCATTTCATCAAGGAACTGTTCATCTCTCAGAATCATTCCTTGCCTCTACTTATTTGGGGTGCTGCAATACAACCAGTCCTATCATAGCTACAGGTACATATTAAGCGAAGCACTACAGTGGATACTGAAATGTGTAACAGCTGTCTCTTTTAAAGGCCAAATGCTGCAAGACAACAGGAACTGCCATTTATCATCAACCACCATTTCTCACACTGATCGAAAAATGCCTGGCCAGCATGTGATATGTTCAAACTATACTTACTTCTCATTGAGGTTTACTTTAACAGTAGAAGCTGAAAGGGTAAAACATGGCTTCTGTCCAATGGGTGCAGCAGACAGTGGTGGCACAGGTGAGCTCTCTGTAGTCGGCTTAAAATTTGTAGAACCAAAAGAGAAGGAGGCAGCAGAAGTGGCCATGGGGCCTGCAGAGAGGGAAGGAGTCGTGGAAGCTTTGGAAGAAGCGGACGAGAAAGAGAATGCAGCTGCTCCAGTGAAACTGGAACCCGGGGCTTGCTTGGACACATCTGATGCAAAGGGATATGGTGGGGGATCCCCTGATGTTGAGCCAGGTGCCTTTACTGTGGAAGCGGTGAAGGAAAAGTTGGCAGCTGCACCACCTGCAGGAGGCAGAGTCGAGGCCAAGGAAGCAGAAGCAATAGCCGGAGTGGCTTCCAGCTTTGAAGTAGGAGAGGTGGTCGGGGTGGTGGCAGCGCTTCCTGGAGAAACATAAATTGGGGCAGGGAGAAACACAGTTAATGTTCCATTTCACAGGGCTTGCAATGCTTTCTGCCCAAATATTGTTCCATGCAGACAATAAAATGCCCTGGCACTCTGAATACTGTCAACGTGTGAAAGAAGGGGGAAGAGGAAGTGGGGTTTTACAATCCACAAATCCAACTAACTGAGATACTAAATGCAAGAACAACAGGATTACAGGAAAGTAGGGCTGGAAGGGACCTCACAAGGGTATTGAGTCCAACCCCAGCTAAAGGCAGGATCATGCCCAACTAAACCATCCCAATTAAGTATCTGTCTAACCCACTCCTGAAGCTCAAGAAGTTTGAGACTCAATCAATGCTACAATTTCCCTGAGTCAAATCTGACTTAAGGGCTTGGGAATTTCTTGCGAAAAGGCTTCCCCATTTTTCTATCAATTGGGATGTGGTCCAGACCATCTCCAATAAAGCAGCCTGTCAAGTGCACAGGTCAGCCAGGACTGGAGCAAGACAGTGCCCAATGAGAGGGTGAAGCAGAACTGCAGACTTGAAGAAAGTATAGCTTTGTAGTGGAGCAACACTCCACTTATGCTGGGAAGCAAAACAAACAACTGATTACTTTGCCCACAGCAGCAAAGGGAGTCACTGAGTTTACATCTGATATGGTGAGACATACTCACATGCCTATTAAAACCATTTACTTCCCACCTGCTTTCTAACGTTATTGCTTCAGTTTAATAGAAACCTGTTGCTTAAACAAGTCCTTGGATCACAAGCCAAATATTACTGCCTGTGCTGTGGCCCCAGGTAGACATAACACACAGGGAAAAGCCCACACACATTGGGAAAGGAGTCTCTGTATGTCACCTAATCCAGTAGTGCCTTGGACCGCTGGAAGTACCACAAGGTGCTTCCTTGATGGATAGTGGTACAAGGAGTTGGTTTGCTATGTGCCAGCAGGCCTGTTGTCCTGCATTTAGAAGGTATATTGCACTTGAGGTGTACATGCCATGAAACCTTCTGGGGGACATTCACAACAAATGATGTTACATGAGCTCACATTGCCAGTGGAAGCCGAGTGAGCTTCATGCCCAGGTATGTCACAGACCCACAAATGAAAACAAAAAGCTCTCCCGAAAACATGGGTACCCACCTGCCGACTTTGATGCTCTCTCCCCTTCTATTGACAGAGGCTCTGGGGTCACGATGAGTGATCTGATACCTGGGTTTTGATTAATCATATAGAATGGACAGAGCACTCCATCCGTGGACAGCAAGATCAGAACAGGAGCTGGCGCAAGCGTATTCTCATCACCTGCAGAAGATCACACACAATAATGACACTTCTACACTCATCAGTTTGTGTT